GATTCTCTATCATCATTGATGTTTCTATCCCTTCCTCTCTGAAATCAATAAAACTATATTTAAAAAATAATAAAATTTATATGGAGAGGCACAAGATTCAGAAAGGCCAACTCAATATTAAAAGAGAAGAACACACACACACACACACACACACACACACACACACAAAAAGAGAAGAACAAAGTTAGAGGACTGACACTATCCTATTTCAAGACTTACTATAAAGCCACAGTAATCAAGACTGTGGTATTGGTGAAAGAATAGACAAATATATCAATGGAACAGAATAGAGAGCTTATAAATAGACCAGCATAAATACAGTCAACCGATCTTATACAAAGGAGCAAAGATGGTGCTTTAGACCTGTGATTTTTAACTGCTATGCTGTAGCACACTGGTGTGCTGCAAGAATTTTTACCTGACTATATAGTCAGGGCACTAACTTCTTTTTCCTTAGATTATCAACTAAAAGATGAAAACAGCCAACACAATAGCCATCAATGTGGATGAATAAAAATTACAACTATTTTTGACAGAATATATATATATATATATATATATATATATATATATATATATCAGTGCTGTAGAATTTTAGTAATTAGTTTGTGTGTGCCATGAGATGAAAAGGGTTGAAAATTGCTATTTTAGACAAATGGTGCTGGAATAACTGAACATAGGTATGCAAAAAATGAATTTAGACAAATATTCTAATCATTCACAAAAAAATAACTCACAATGACTATAGGCCTAAAAGTAAAACACAAAACTATAAAAATCTAGAAGAAAACAGAGGAGAAAATATAGATGACCTTGGGTATAGTGATGACTTTTTAAATACAATACTAAAGGCATGAAAGAAATAATTGATAAACTACATGTCATTAAAATTGAAAACTTCTATGAAAGACATTAAGAGAATGAAAATGTAAGCTACAGATTGGGAGAAAATATTTGCAAAAGACACATCTGGTAGAAGACTGGTATCCAAAATATATAAAACGTGAGCAAAAGACCTGAAAAGTCATACATATCACCAAAGAAGATATACAGATGGCAACTAAACATATGCCACAATGCATCAAATGTCATCAAAGCAATGCAAATTAAAACAATGATATACCACTACCCACCTCTTAGAATGGTCAAAATTTGAAACCCTGACAAGACCAAATGCTGGCGAGGATATTGAATAACAGGAGCTCTCATTCATTGCTGGTGGGAATGCAAAATAGTACAGCCACTTTGGAAGATAGTTCAGCAGGTCTAAGAAAGCTAAACAGTCTCACTATACAAATTAGCAATAGTGCTCTTTGGTATTTGCCTGAAGGAACTTAAAACTTATGTCAATACAAAACCCTGTACAAAGATGTTTATAACAAATGGAGTGGATCCAGAGACATGGAAGCATGAAACAGAGTGCAGAATTTCTGAGGGAAGATGGAGGAGGGTGGATGGGTGGGAAATAATCAACCAAAAACCTTGTATACATATATACATAACCCATGAACACAGACAATAGGGTGGTAAATGTCTAGGGTGGGGCAAGGATGGGCTGGAGGGGATCAATTGGGGGGAAAAGGAACATATGTAATACTTTCAACAATAAAGATTAATTAAAAAATTTTAAAGGATCTTTATTGCAGCTTTATTAATAACTAGAGGCCTGGTGCACAAAATTTGTGCATGGGGGAGGTGTGTGTGTGTGTGTGTGTGTGTGTGTGTGTGTGTGTGTGTGTCCCTCAGCCCAACCTGCACCCTCTCCAATCTGGGACCACTCAAGGAATGTCCAACTGCTGTTTAGGCCTAATTGCACTAGGGTCAGGCCTAAATGGACAGTCGGACATCCCTCTCACAATCCAGGACTGCTGGCTCCCAACTGCTCACCTGTCTGCCTGCCTGATTGCCCCTAACTGCTTCTGCATGCCAGCCTGATCACTCCTTAACCACTCCCCTGTCAGCCTGATTGACGCCTAACTGATCTCCTGCTGGCCCAATTGCCCCCAACTGCCCTCCCCTGAAGGCCTGGTCACCTTTAACTGCCCTCCCCTGCTGGCCTGGTTGCCCCTAACTGTCCTCCCCTGCAGGCCTGGTCCTCCCCAACTCATTTCCCCTGCAGTCCTGGTTCCCCCCAACTGTCCTCCCCTGCCAGCCCAGTCACCTCTAACTGCGCCCCCCCCCCCCCCGCTGGCCTGATCGCTCACAACTGCCCTCCCCTATGGGCCATCTTGTGGCAGCCAACTTATGTCCACACAGAGGTGGCCATCTTTAACCACACAGGGGCGACCATCTTGTGTGTTGGAGTGGGGGTCTTTTTGCATATTACCTCTTTATTATATAGGATTGCAAAAACTTGGAAGCAACCAAGATGTCTTTCAATAGGTGAATGAATGAATAACCTGTGGTACAGCCAGAAAATGAAATACTATTTAGTGTTAAAAAGAAATGAGCTATCAAGCCATGAAAAGACATGGAGGAAACTTAATGCATATTAATAACTGAAAGAAGTTGATCTGACAAGACTACATACTGTGTGATTCCACGTACATGACATTCTGGGGAAAGCAAAACTATGGAGACAGTAAAAAGACCAGTGGTTTCCAAGATTTAGTGGGGAAGAAGAGATGAATCAGCAGAGCACAAGGGCTTTTTAAGAGCAATAAAACTATTCTGTATGATACTGTAATGACGGATACATGTCATTATACATTTGTCAAAACTCAGAGAATGTACAATACCAAGCATGAACCCTAATGTGAACTATGGACTTTGGGTGATGATGATGTGTGAGGGTTGGTTCACTGATTGATTGTAACAAATGTACCACTCTGGTGCTGGATGCCAATAGTGCAGGGGGCTGTGCATGTGTGAGGGATAGAGAGTATGTTGGAAAACTGTGTACTTTTCACTCAATTTTGCCGTGAACTTAAAATTGCTCTAAAAATACAAGTTTATTGATTAAAAATAACACATTTGTACTGGCATCAAAGGTCTCCTATTTGAGCAGAGGAAACGCTATTCTTCACTGTCCTTTAGGCACAGAGTGGAGGAGCCCCTACACCAGGATAAAGGTTAATTTCAATTACAAAAGGGTCCAAAAGCTGAACATATTAAAACTATCACCTCAGCTCTGGTGTCCCCAAATTCTTCTTTCCAGACATCCAGGGCATCTTCACATCTGCTTCACTGAGCCTGGCTGGGACCTTTACATTGCAATTTCCAGAAAAGTTCCAGATGCTTCTTTGCCTTGGCTATAATGAACATCTCTTCTTGAGGTCACATAACTTTGCCATTCACTCATGGTGTGACTTTGGGCTAGTCGCATCCCTTCTCTTGGCTGCACTTTCTTCTTCTGTAAGTTGAGAAGAAGGTTGAGCCCTCAGAGTGGCAAGACTCAGATCAAGATGATGTCCTTTAGGTCAGCATCCTATTTCATTGTTTTCTAGGAGCACAAAAAGCTGATTTAGAAAGTGGCAACCAACCATTTTATGAGACATGGATGCTGAGTACCCTCTGAGATATTTTTAGGGGAAAAAGACACAAATGGTAAACTTTCAAAGATCCAGAAAAGGCCCCATTCCATATACCATAGAAAGGAAATCATTACTTTGGGAGGAAGACTATTTTAGAAAAGTTTGCCATCTTCATACTAGATTGAGCAGAAGGAAACCTGCAAATTCAAAGTTGAGCCAATTTCTTTCTTATAAATGTGACAGGGACTCTGAGTGGACTGAAACAATGGAAGGAAGTTCTCATGTGGATATAGCTCTCAGGGGAGAAATGTCTACTGAATGGGCTGTGGGAAACAATTTAGGCTCCAAATTCAGCTCTACCCAAAACAAGGTACGTTTAAGGTGTGCCTTAGCACATTTGAGCCTCATGAGTAGAATAAGGATAATGTTAATACCTACCTGACAGGGATCTGGTGAGAAGTGATGAAATAACTCCTATGAAGATTTGCAGGAAGGTTGATGAGGGAAAACCCATTAAGGGACATTGCTACTAAGCCCCTCACAGACAGCTAGTAGGTAGACAAGGGGAATACACCATCTCATGTGGAGTCCAAGGGCATGTGGACAGTTCTGTCACACCCAGTACTACCCAGAGCTACCCAGACCTAGCTGGGTAGATGAGCCCCACATGGGCAACAACCACAAGCCCCTCCCTGTGTGAGTGGAGAGAGGCCTGCCAAGTGGAGGCCAGAAGCACACAGACCACTGCGTCATCTGCCTGCAGGGCAGTCACTCCATCTCTCTTTCCTATGCCTCCTGGGATCCAACTGATACTGCAAAACTCACAGCCCATCACTAACAAGGAAAGGCAAGTCCAAGGGGATAGGCTGTAAATGGTGAAAGCAGGTTCTCCAGACACCGGATTTGTGGTGTACAGATTGTGAAAAGACCCAGCCAATCTAGACTCTGGGTCACCCACTTTGAGGCAGGCCCCTGTCACACGTGCAGCAAATCACGTTGAACCACCCTACACCTTCAGTGGCAGACACCTGCAGCACTCAGCCCCCAAGTGAAGTGTGGACAGCATCTTGCTGAGTGTGCATGAGCACACATATGTGCATGCGACCTCTAGTCCACAGAAGGTGCCCCTCTAGACCACGTGCTTCTTGCCCAGCCTTGGGACAGGAACAGCCCTGGGAGGAGAGGCGAGGGGTGGTGGGGAGAGAAAGCAGGGGAAGAAGCCTCAGAGGCTCCCCACCCCTGGCCTGAAGGCAGCCCTGGCCAGCGCACCATGGGCCCCTCCAACCATTCCAGGGCTGGCATCTCCCAAGTCTGGCGCCCCCAAGGGTCATTTCTGGGGGTGGGGGGTGGGAGCCAGAGTGGTATCCCAGAGGGGCACACCAAGGCTCTGACCCTAACCCACCACACTTGTGCCCACATCCCCTCCTGGACTTGGGGAGGAGCCAGTGACTTCACCAGAGGTTCCAGGGCTCCAGCAGCTCTGGAAACAGCCCGGTCACGTGACCAGCGCGAGCCAATGGCCCTGCTGTCTCCCAGGCAACACAGAGGGTCCCAGTTCCTCCTCCACCGTGCCCCTGCTCCTGGTCCGCACTGCAGAGAGCCCTGGCAAGCTGACAGGCTGCTGACGCGCAGGCCCACACGCAGCCCTGAGACAGGGACAGGGAAGGGAAGAGGGAGAGGCAGCCAGAGAGCCTGGGAAAGAGGGGCATCCCTCCTGCTGGGACCTGGATCAGAAAGGACCACCCCCAGCACAAGGTAGGAGACTCAGGGAGGGTGAGCTTGACCCCTGGAGATCCAGCCACCCTCCTCCCACGCCAGCAGGACTGCAGCTGCCCGCCAGGGCTGGGAGCAGTGTGGGTGGGAAGAGAATGGCAGTCCAGGCTGGGCTGCAGAGGCGCTGCCAGGGGAAGGAAGGCAGCCCAGGGTGGGAGGAGGGGGTCTGCATTAACCTCTCTCTCTCTCTCTCTCTCTCTCTCTCTCTCTCTCTCTCTCTCTCTCTCTCTCTCTCTCCCGCCTTCCCTCCCTTCCTTCCCCTCTCTTTCTCTCCCGCCCCCCCCCCCCGCCTTCCTATTCACAGGCAGTGCACACCTGGAAAGCTCCATCTGAGTCCTGGGCTCCCCCCTCCCCCAATTCCTTTCCCACCCAGTGCTGCCCTGGTCTGCACCCAGAACCGGTTCCCCTCCCCCAGCCCCCAGTAGCAGCCCCCAAGATGGCGCTAGCAGACAACGAAGCCATGGATGTGGAGATGCTGCGGGACTGGTGCAGGTGGATGGGCATCAGCGCCCGCAGGGGTCTGCTCATCCTGGGCATCCCAGAGGACTGTGACGACGACCAGTTGCAGGAGTGCCTGGAGGGCTCACTGTTGGAAATGGGCCAGTTTGAGGTGCTGGGCAGAGTGTTTCGAGAGGAGGACGATGCCAATGCGGCCCTCGTGGAGCTGGACCGGGAAGTCAACTATGCTTTGGTTCCCAGGGAGATCCCAGGCATCGGGCGTCCCTGGAACGTGGTCTTTGTGCCCCGATGCTCAGGCGAGGACTTTCTGGGTCGCCTGTTGCACGCCATGGAACAGCGGGGGCAGACTGTAGAGAGCTTGGCCGAGGCCCTGGGGCTGGGGCTGAACAAGGTGTGCTGGCTGAGGTCTTTCAGTCGGGCCATCCAGCCCTGGGTGGAGACAGTGCGGTACCAGCCCCTGGGGGTGTTCTCTGGGAGGAACCCGCCAGCCCCGGGGGAGTTGTCCTTCGAGCCCTGGCTGGACCAGGCCACTGAAATGCTGCTGGTGTGGGAAGGGGTCCCCGAAAGGGAGAAAAGTAGGAGGCTAACAGAGGGCCTCCGAGGGGCGGCCCTGCAGGTGGCATATGATGTCCTGGCAGGTCACCCTGTCAGGACAGTCCAGCAATGCCTGGACGCACTGTTCCACGTGTTTGGAGACCGCGAGTCCAAGGCCATCCTGCGGCTCAAGTGTGTAACCGCTGAGCAACAGCCCGGAGAGACTCTCTCTGCTTTCGTGTTTAGGCTGGAAGGCCTGCTGCAGAAAGCCGTTCGGGCGAAGGCCCTGGAAAAGCTCTCAGTAGATCAACTGCGTGCGAGGCAGGTGCTCACCGGGGCCCACACTCTTGAGCAGCTGTCAATGGCCCTGAGGCAGCTGCACTCGATGGGGCAGTACCCAACTTTCCTGGAGATGGTGGTGATGGCTCAGGAGACTGAGAGATGGGAGGCCAAAATAGCCAGGAGCCTGAGAGCCCAGCAGGCACAAGGGGCTGCTGCCACGGCCACTGCCCAGGTGGATGCCAGAGCCAAAGCTCAGGCCGAGGGTGACAAGGTGGAGGAGAAGCAGCGGGAGCAGGAGAATAGTGATAACCATGCCCGGGCCCCTGCGGGCCTGGGTCAGAAAGAGCTCTCAGAGGCCTCCCAGAGAGAGGGAGAGAGAGAAGAAAATGGACCAGGGACGGAAGGCGGCCCCCTGCCTGACCACATGGGCAGCGCTTCCTTGGCAGGTCCAAGAGATCCTGACTCTGTGCTAGGGCACCTGGTCCAGGCGCTAGACCAGGAGGCCGAGGAGCACTACCAGGAGGGGCTCAAGCCCATCCTGGAGGAGTCGGAAAGTGAGGACGGGCCTGGGGAGCTGAGCCCCTCTATGCCCTCCCCTGGCAAATAGGCTCATGAGGCCAGGGCAACCTCCTCACCCCACATGGGGAGCAGGGCCCAGGGAAGGGCCCACCCAGCCCACTCCAAATCCCTTATTTCCCCAACATCCTACGGGGCCCTGACCACCTCCATCAGCCCTCCAAGTCACCAAGATGACCATGTTTGACACCCAATGGGATGGGGAGAGGTGCCCACACAAGGGAGCGCCACGCCTTGCCTCAGCCCCTGCCCAGCCTCTGCCAACTTGGGCAGCTGGCCTGGGAGCACCGCTGAGCAGCCCATCTCAGCCTAGGAGAGGGGCACCTGAAGACATCTGCCACCCGCGTGGAACTGGGAGACTTTGGAGCCCATCTCGGGTGCCACTCTTGGGGGCCCCAAGTCATTTCTCTATAGCCCCATAGTGACCCACGTGTCAAGTAATCATCCTCCCACCACCCCACAAACAGACCATGAGTCTGTGCAGTACCACTTGGTGTGTGTGAACCCAGGTGGGTGTCCTGGCCTCTCCCCCGACCCTGCCCGGGGCAGCCACCTCTCAGCCCCGGCACATGCTGTGAGCCCCACTGCCAGCCACGGCTCTGCCAGCTCTCGTCCAGTGTCGTGAGCTCAGCCTCTGCTTTCTCAGTATAGATTTAAGCCAACTGCTGCTTGTGCTTGTGATGTGTGTGTTCTTCTCTGAGCAGTTTTTCCCTCCCCACCGCCAACATCACCCACCTCGGAGACCCCGAGCCTGAGCCCAGAAGAACGGAGGAGAAGGGCGGACCAGGGCGCGTCTGGCGCTCACCCGGTGACCTGTGGCAGGAAAAAATGGACCAGGGACAGAAGGCGGCTCCTGGAGGCTCCACGGGGACTGTGCTCTGATATGCCACCCTGTTGTTCCCTGTGACTCAGTTTCCTCAGCATGCTCGAGTGTCCCCTGCTGTTTTCTCCAGTATCTTGTGTCTGTTCAGTGCAGGCCACAGGGTAGGGCCAGGTCCCAACATGTCGTCCAGAGCGGGGGGGGGGGGGGGGGGGGCGGGGAGCCCTGGAGTGAGTGGACATCACCTGTGTCCATGGTCCTACGAAGTCCAGCCAAAGGGCCCTCAGGGAGGGGGACTATGGAAGGAGGGCCACAGTGTGGGGGACATTTAAGGCTCCTCGTTAGGGACCCCAGGAGCAGGGGGTGTGACCTATGGGCTCTAGTGGCCGTTGAAGTTCCTCTCTGTGTTGTAATTCCCCTTCTTCAATGGATTCAGTAAACGTTTCTTTTCAATAAACATCATTGAATGTTTCAGCTGAGTTTCATCTCTTCTGTGGGCAATTGAGGGAAGGGTCTGCTGGGAGCAGTTTGGGGAGCCAGGAAAGGTATTATGCCCAGCGCCCATAAGAGACTTCTTCAGGACATCTTAATGGTCATGTCTACAGCCTCCTAGTCCCTAAATAGCTTGGCTGCTCCCCTTTGTGGGTTTTACTGTGCTGGCTGCTACTATGGTTGCAAAGATTGCTGCTGCTCTAGGGTTCCTTCTTCTCTGCGTGTGACTTGAACATTTCTGAACTCGGCCTTCACTAGACATTACTGTAGTTTGGTTTTGATTTCTCAGGGTATGCAACACTGTGGCAAGTTCGGTAGGGTAGAAGTAGCCCCTCCATGGAATGCCTGGGCTGGCTGTGCCAGCCTTTCCTCCCCAGTGGCATTGCATACGCACTGTCAAACCCCACCTGGCCCACTCTCCATTCTTCACCCATCACACAATTCTGTCCCCAGACATCCCTCATTGTGAACACCAAGACTGGCTACTTGTCAGCTGACAGGGGTAGGCTGATCAGGGATGTGTAGGTAGTCACCTCACTACACTCCAGAGTCCTGCACAGAGCTACTTGCAAGGACATCTGACCTCACTTCAGGGCCCTTCTATGGCCCTCTGGTCTCTGGACTGCACACGTGACCTCCCTAACCTAATGACATGCTGGGCACCCACACCCCTGTCAAGGATCATAGGATCTCTAGTCCTACCTGCTGTTTCTCCCCTCTCTAATCCCTAAGCCACTTATTCCTGGGCTTTCTAGGGACCTAAATAGCCACTACACATTCCTACAAATTTCTGCTATCAGTGCTTCCAGCCTCAGGGTAACTGACAGACCTACTTGGACCCTGTCCGAAACATAGCCCCAAAATGATCCTGAGTACCAGATCACTATTGCCCCTCCAGCCTCACCCCCAGCAAACCCTTCCCTCAATTGCCCACAGAAGAGACGAAACTCAGCTGAAACATTCAATGATGTTTATTGAAGAGAAACATTTACTGAATCCATTGAAGAAGGGGAATTACAACACAGAGAGGAACTTCAACGGCCACTAGAGCCCATAGGTCACACCCCCTGCTCCTGGGGTCCCTAATGAGGAGCCTTAAATGTCCCCCACACTGTGGCCCTCCTTCCATAGTGCCCCTCCCTGAGGGCCCTTTGGCTGGACTTTGTAGGACCATGGACACAGGTGATGTCCACTCACTCCAGGGCTCCCCGCCCCCCCGGCTCTGGACGACATGTTGGGACCTGGCCCTACCCTGTGGCCTGCACTGAACAGACACAAGATACTGGGAAACACAGCAGGGGACACTCGAGCATGCTGAGGAAACTGAGTCACAGGGAACAACAGGGTGGCATATCAGAGCACAGTCCCCGTGGAGCCTCCAGGAGCCGCCTTCTGTCCCTGGTCCATTTTTTCCTGCCACAGGTCACCGGGTGAGCGCCAGACGCGCCCTGGTCCGCCCTTCTCCTCCGTTCTTCTGGGCTCGGGCTCGGGGTCTCCGAGGTGGGTGATGTTGGCGGTGGGGAGGGAAAAACTGCTCAGAGAAGAACACACACATCACAAGCACAAGCAGCAGTTGGCCTAAATCTATACTGAGAAAGCAGAGGCTGAGCTCACGACACTGGACGAGAGCTGGCAGAGCCGTGGCTGGCAGTGGGGCTCACAGCATGTGCCGGGGCTGAGAGGTGGCTGCCCCGGGCAGGGTCGGGGGGGAGGCCAGGACACCCACCTGGGTTCACACACACCAAGTGGTACTGCACAGACTCATGGTCTGTTTGTGGGGTGGTGGGAGGATGATTACTTGGCACGTGGGTCCCTATGGGGCTATAGAGAAATGACTTGGGGCCCCCCAGGGGATGGAGGATGGGGGTCCCCAAGAGTGGCACCCGAGATGGGCTCCAAAGTCTCCCAGTTCCACGCGGGTGGCAGATGTCTTCAGGTGCCCCTCTCCTAGGCTGAGATGGGCTGCTCAGCGGTGCTCCCAGGCCAGCTGCCCAAGTTGGCAGAGGCTGGGCAGGGGCTGAGGCCAGGCGTGGCACTCCCTTGTGTAGGCACCTCTCCCCATCCCATTGGGTGTCAAACATGGTCATCTTGGTGACTTGGAGGGCTGATGGAGGTGGTCAGGGCCCCGTAGGATGTTGGGGAAATAAGGGATTTGGAGTGGGCTGGGTGGGCCCTTCCCTGGGCCCTGCTCCCCATGTGGGGTGAGGAGGTTGCCCTGGCCTCATGAGCCTATTTGCCAGGGGAGGGCATAGAGGGGCTCAGCTCCCCAGGCCCGTCCTCACTTTCCGACTCCTCCAGGATGGGCTTGAGCCCCTCCTGGTAGTGCTCCTCGGCCTCCTGGTCTAGCGCCTGGACCAGGTGCCCTAGCACAGAGTCAGGATCTCTTGGACCTGCCAAGGAAGCGCTGCCCATGTGGTCAGGCAGGGGGCCGCCTTCTGTCCCTGGTCCATTTTCTTCTCTCTCTCCCTCTCTCTGGGAGGCCTCTGAGAGCTCTTTCTGACCCAGGCCCGCAGGGGCCCGGGCATGGTTATCACTATTCTCCTGCTCCCGCTGCTTCTCCTCCACCTTGTCACCCTCGGCCTGAGCTTTGGCTCTGGCATCCACCTGGGCAGTGGCCTTGGCAGCAGCCTCTTGTTCCTGCTGTTCTCTCAGCATCTTCTTGGCTGCTATGCCCTTCATTCGCTCAGACTCCTGAGCCATCGCAACAATGTCCTCGAAACCTGGGTACCTCCCCTTTGAGACCTTATCAGTCAGGATCTTTTCCATTTTCCGAATAAGTTGGGCCCCGCTGAGCAACTGCCTTGCACGCAAGTGGTCAACTGAGAGCTCGTCCAGGGCCTTCGCCCGAAGGGCTTTCTGCAGCAGGCCTTCCAGCCGCAACACGAAAGCGGTGAGAGTCTCTCCTGGCTGTTGCTCAGCGGTCACACACTTGAGCCGCAGGCTGGCCTCACACTCGCGTTCTCCAAACACATGGAACAGGGCGTCCAGGCATTGCTGGACCGTCCTGACATGGTGACTTGCCAGGACATCGTATGCCACCTGCAGGGCCGCCCCTCGGAGGCCCTCTGTTAGCCTCCTACTCTTCTCCCTTTCCGAGACCCCTTCCCACACCAGCAGCATTTCAGTGGCCTGGTCTAGCCAGGGCTCGAAGGACAACTCCCCCGGGGCTGGCGGGTCCCTCCCAGAGAACACCCCTAGGGGCTGATAATGCACTGTCTCCACCCAGGGCTGGATGGCCCGACTGAAAGACCTCAGCCAGCACACCTTTTGCAGTCCCAGCCCCAAGGCCCCGGCTATGCTCTCTACAGTCTGCCCCTGCTGCTCCACGAAGTTGAATAGGCGACCCAGAAAGTCCTCGCCTGTGCATCGGGGCGCAAAGACCACGCTCCAGGGACGCCCGATGCCTGGGATCTCCCTGGGAACCAAAGCATAATTGATTTCATTCTCCAGATTCACCAGAGCTGCAAAGGCATCGTCCTCCTCTCGAAACACTCTGCCCAGCACCTCAAACTTGCCCATTTGCGACAGGGAGCCATCCAAGCACTGTTGCAACTGGGCGTCGTTACAGTCCTCTGGGATGCCCAGGATGAGCAGACTCCTGCGGAAGCTGACGTTCATCCACCTGCACCAGTCCCGCAGCATCTCCACATCCATGACCTCAGGGTCTGCCAGCGCCATCTTGGGGGCTGCTACTGGGGGCTGGGGGAGGGGAACCGGTTTTGGGTGCAGAGCAGGGCAGCACTGGTTGGGAAAGGAATTGGGGGAGGGGGGAGCCCAGGACTCAGATGGAGCTTTCCAGGTGTGCACTGCCTGTGAATAGGAAGGCGGGGGGGGGGGGGGGAGAGAAAGAGAGGGGAAGGAAGGGAGGGAAGGCGGGGGGGGGGGAGAGAGAGAGAGAGAGAGAGAGAGAGAGAGAGAGAGAGAGAGAGAGAGAGATTAATGCAGACCCCCTCCTCCCACCCTGGGCTGCCTTCCTTCCCCTGGCAGCACCTCTGCAGCCCAGCCTGGACTGCCATTCTCTTCCCACCCACACTGCTCCCAGCCCTGGCGGGCAGCTACAGCCCTGCTGGCGTGGGAGGAGGGTGGCTGGATCTCCAGGGGTCAAGCTCACCCTCCCTGAGTCTCCTACCTTGTGCTGGGGGTGGTCCTTTCTGATCCAGGTCCCAGCAGGAGGGATGCCCCTCTTTCCCAGGTTCTCTGGCTGCCTCTCCCTCTTCCCTTCCCTGTCCCTGTCTCAGGGCTGCGTGTGGGCCTGCGCGTCAGCAGCCTGTCAGCTTGCCAGGGCTCTCTGCAGTGCGGACCAGGAGCAGGGGCACGGTGGAGGAGGAACTGGGACCCTCTGTGTTGCCTGGGAGACAGCAGGGCCATTGGCTCGCGCTGGTCACGTGACCGGGCTGTTTCCAGAGCTGCTGGAGCCCTGGAACCTCTGGTGAAGTCACTGGCTCCTCCCCAAGTCCAGGAGGGGATGTGGGCACAAGTGGGGTGGGTTAGGGTCAGAGCCTTGGTGTGCCCCTCAGGGATACCACCCTGGCTCCCACCCCCCACCCCCAGAAATGACCCTTGGGGGCGCCAGACTTGGGAGATGCCAGCCCTGGAATGGTTGGAGGGGCCCATGGTGCGCTGGCCAGGGCTGCCTTCAGGCCAGGGGTGGGGGCCTCTGAGGCTTCTTCCCCTGCTTTCTCTCCCCACCACCCCTCGCCTCTCCTTCCAGGGCTGTTCCTGTCCCAAGGCTGGGCAAGAAGCACGTGGTCTAGAGGGGCACCTTCTGTGGAGTAGAGGTCGCATGCACATATGTGTGCCCATGCACACTCAGCAAGATGCTGTCCACACCTCACTTGGGGGCTGAGTGCTGCAGGTGTCTGCCACTGAAGGTGCAGGGTGGGTCAATGTGATTTGCTGCACTTGTGACAGGGGCCAGCCCTGTGGAAGATGCCATAGCCTCTTCTATTTAGCTTGCTGTTTGTCTTAAATTTAAAAAAAATTGGGCTTGTGCTATTTAAAGTTCTCCCCTTTGGCAATTCCTTCCCCCTTATAGCCTTGCTTCTGTGGAACAACAGAACTGGGATCTCTACCTGAGGGTGTATATAGGAGAGTTTGTATGTACCCAATGTGTCTCCTCTCCCCTGTGCCCTGGCCAGCTTCGTGGGCTCTGGGACAGTGCTCTCTGGGCCCCTGAGGGCAGTATGAGTGTTGTGCCTCTCCAGAGATCTCTGTCTGTCCTACCTGGAATCCTTCCCCTTTTCTTTGCCACCTTGGTGTAGATACTGCACAAACAGTATCTGCCTCAGCTCAAAACAGAGCTCCAATCCCAAAGGTCTCATCATCTTGCACCTGTCCCATTATGTGATCTGGGACCCTGTGAATAGCCTCTCCATCTGTGAGATGGTAGACAGGTTTCCTCGGGGTCACACCTCCAGGTATTTGCCTACCCCCCCACCACCACCACCCCTTTTCTTTTGTTGCTTGGTATCTGGTCAGAATCCTTCTCTGTGACTTGCTTTTCCCACTCAAACTTGACAGCTCAAAATTTCCCCAAGTGTCCAGCTTGCTCATGCTCCTTGTCAAATCACAACCCTTGTTTATTTCTATGACCCTATGGATGGGCATTCAGGTTGTTCCCAGTCTTCAGCCATTACAAACACTGTTGTCAGCAGCATCTTGCACATACCTGTCTGAGCCACTGTCAGGACTAAGGCTTTGGCATGTATACCAAGAAGTGGTTTTGTTGGGACTACGGCTGAGCCTGTTGCCAACGTGATTAGACATTGCTACTTCATTATCTCCCATGTGTGGCTTCACTCACTTCGCCCAGCCCAGCAGCTCAGTAGTAGTCCAGTGTGCCTCACAGCCCGAGCAGCCTTTGGTCCTGTCCAGATTTGACCATTTGAACATCCAATGGGGATAGGCACTACCCTGTTACCGTGTATCTTCCATGTCCCTTGTCATCAGTGAGGTTGGGCAACTTTGCACATGTTTTTTGGCCATTCCCATTTCTTCTTTTGTGAACCTTCTTTCCTTGTTTTCTCTCCAGGGTTGAGAAGCATTGTTGACCTCTTTATAGGAGAAAGGTCCTAGTGTCAAGTTCAAAGGCACTCTCATATTTTTATACTCACCTGTCTCTGAGAAGTAGACCACATTGGAGTTTGTCTCATAGTTGCACCTTGGCTTGTCTATATGGTCTTACTCCCTCCCCCAACTTTCCTACCTCCTGGCTTGTAAATGAAGAAATATGAGTGTTCCATCACAAACCACGTTTCCCAGTTGACCTTGTGCATAGACTCCTTCCCTTTATCCCCATTGAATGCCAAGACTGCCTGCTATACAGGTGAACCGCTGCTCTTAATACCCACCTGGCAAATTTCTGACCACTGAACCTCAGCATTAGTCTACCTGCCATGACTTGCACCTCATGCTGTCCTCTTCCTTGGTTTCCACCATTTTTTTGGTGGATTTGCTTGGGATCCTTCTTTAGGGTATTCCCATGGGAGCATATGTGGGTCCTGTGTCACCAACTGTTGATTCAGTTCCACTGTTTTCAGTCTCATCTCTTTCTACTTTCCTTTTGTTCCTTCCTGTTGACTTTCCAGTTCTGCCTCAGAGCACCCATTCTGCCAGGGCTGGGCTGTGATGCCTCTACTGTCTCTTCTTTGTCATCTCATTTTGCTCCCCCTCTCAACACAGTTGACGCTCCTTCCTTCTCAAAACACTTTCCTTTCTCTGTTTCTATGACACCCCACCTCCTGGCTGACCTACCCCCTCTTTGCCTACTTATCCTTAGAATTCCCAACAGCAGCATGGGAGCTGTTCTGTGTGCCCCACAGCCTCAGCATCCTTCTGTCTGGCTTGGCTTTGATTATTTGCGCCCCCCCCCCCCCCGCCGCTGCAGTTCAGTGTGTGATGGTGGACTCCCAGCCTCAGCCAAGGTCCTCTCATTGGAGAGTTTGTTTGCCTGCCAGTGATTCCAAATGTTCCTCTTCTCTGAGCTACACATGTGCTCATCAAACTGCCCACTTGGATGCTCCATGGGGATTTTAGAAGGAATATGTCCAAGCCAGAGCACTTCATCCCCCTCAGCACATTTACCTCTTCCCCAGGATCCCCCAAGGGCTCAGCCTACCACCTGGTTGCTCAAGCAAAGATGCCAGGATTCTGTATTCCCTCTCCTTTGTTCCTGAGCCCAGTCTAATCCATCATCAGATTTTATTGACATTAGTCAGTGATTGCTGCCCCTCTCTATGTCTCAATGGTTCATTAACCTGCCTCCTTTTCTCTCTGCATCTACTCTGTCCTCTCTCTACTCCACTCCCACCCATATGGCAGCCAAGGCAAACTGCAATACCACCCCTCTGCTCCCTGTGACAGGTCCTCCCTGTGTTTTCCCATCTCCTTAGAGTAAATTCCAAAGTCTTTTTCCCTTTTTTTTTTTTTTTTTTTTAACAAGTTCGTCATTTAATAAGTCTGAATTCACATTTATCACATGGTATTATACACGGTCATCTGTTGAAACAGATTTCTTTTGAACAGATCTTGGGTTTAAAAAAGTCATAGATAATGTAAGTTCTGTATAAACTGGTGGATAGGTAAGATAGTTCTTTTGTTTTGACTTATAAGCCTCAACTTCACCGCAGAATAAAGGCTGTAGGCCAAAGAAAGCATAATTGCTCAGTCGTATAGAACAGTATTGTATCTATAATTTGGAGCTTTCTGAAGGGACGGGTTCAGGCCTGATGCAACTGTAAAAAGATTACTTAATGAATAGACTATATGGAAATTGTACCAAATGTTATTAATTTTAAGCATTAATAGCTTAAACAGCACTATGTTACTAATTGCTATTCAAACTCAAAAACCTGATTTTGAATCCTCAAGAAGGTGGCATGGATACACAAACCATACCTCCTATCCTTGGGGGGGTGTCAATACATATTTCAACAGAAACTTTGGCTTTAGAAAAGAGTCACAAACATTGAAAATAATGGCTTTGTCATTTTAAGTATAAGGTAGAGGAAAGTGTGCTTTAATTAAATATACATTATACCAGTGATGCTGGCAAGGTTGAAAGTTACTCCTAATGTTGATAGCTATAAAAACCAGTTTGTACATGACAAGATAATGAGAGAAATAAGCAATCCCTTTGAAACAAATTCCTAAAAAAATAATAATAATGTTCACAGTGATTTGTATCAACAGTATGCATTTTATGACAATAACATATACAGACTGAGCACCCTAGGGCTCTCTTTATATCCTAAAGAAAACAAGCATTTACATTATCCATGGTTTTTACTGAACTGGAAAAAGAAAGTCAATTGTACACTTACCCCTTAGACAGAATAAACTGTCTGGGGGTGCACAGATTTAACACCATCATTAAACTTGTTTGCAAAAAGAAGAACTAAAAAACAAAACATTTTTTCTTGGGAGTGAAGTCTTTCATTTGCTGTTATAACCAGCAAATGCCATTCATTAACTGAAAAAATGGAAGGGAGGGCCCCACAAACACACTATTTGAGCAAGCTGACCAATACACATTACAGTTTTAAAAATGAAGGCTATATACTATATGTTATAAGTCTCAACTAGGCAGTGTCAAAATGATATCTATTTCTTTGCTTGCTTTGTGATCATATCCCTTGGAGGTGTTACTGGTCTCATGGCACTCGGCTTCTTTTTCTCTGCAGGCTTTAAAATCT